CAACCAGATCTATTCAAAATATAACAACAAGAGTTGATAGGGAAGGAGAATTTTTTTTGGTCCTTTCTTCATCTCAGTTCTCATAATGATGTTTAGGATCAAGGGAATAACTTAAAATTGATCTCTCATGTAAGTCGAATTTATACACCGAAAGACAAGATGCAAATGTTAAAAGAATTTTCAGAAGTATCAGAAAAATAACCGTCACAGATGGGTATCAAAGCTTGGTTAACCTATGGCTCCCAAGATCTGCGTAATCTGTCACAAATGCATGATTACTAGATAAAGGTTTCAGTATGAGTTAACACGTCCTGAAAGTTTATTATTTAATCAAAGCAATAGCAATATCCCCCCACCCACTTCAATGCGGCACCGAGAGTTTGATTAGTAAACTTGTTTTACTCAGCTTTTACAAATGTAAGTCATTACATATTTAATAATACAGCCAGTGTGATATAAAAAGCTAACAAGCTGCCTAACAACTCAATATTTTAGTGAGTTCAAGAACTCTTCAAAAAGATGCCAAATTACATGTCCTCCTCAATTATTTACAACTTTAAATCTACGGTGATATAAGAGTAATATTCGTGTCTTGAGTTCTACATCCAAAAACGGAAATAAATGTTGCCACTAGATCTAGAATTATTCGAAACACCAATAGCACCACGTATTTACATAATGGGAGCTATATATTCAATAACACTAACCCAAGTCGAGTTTTGGTTATGAGTACACGCAGAAAACATTATACACCTCCATCATATAGAATTATCGAGATATGGTTTACTCGTAAACGAGTTCATAAATCGATCATTATTCTTAAAAAATTACAAGTGTAAATGGTTAAAATCACAGCATAGCTGGTCTTAACAGAATTCGTCGCAATCACCATGCAGAGGTTTTACACTAGCTCACGAAGCTACGATATCTTGACAGTTCAGTGATATATGTCGATCAATGTTTTGTCGAATTTATATTCTTTATACAGGTCCCCATTCAAACGAGCTTTGAGCTAAACTGAGCCAGCCAGGTTAAATACTGCCGGTTAATAAATAAATAAAATAACTGAATAGGGTACTGTGAGTTATTTTTCGCATTATCAAATCATCGTTGTGAAATATTGCCTCGCGAAATAATTTATAAAAATTAAATAAATAAACCATTCATAAGAATCAATGACTGTCTTGCAATAGTTGTCATAAGTTTTCTGTTAGACGGGACGATTTAAATTGGTTATTCATTACAATCAAGCGATTCCGTAACACTTAAACTTTCCCAATGTATGGTAACCCATCTCGTCTTCGTTTGCACCTGTACCTGTATCCCCAAACCTCAGCTGCTTAACTGGCAGATGTGTCTTGTTAGTAAGGAAACCACTATCTTGACGCCATACATTGTCATTCACATGACAGTTACAATTCTTTGATGGTTTTGCACATGATTTGTTGATTCCGCATGCGCACATGTCACTTTCAGGTGCTTCACCACTCCAGTAGGTCATTCTCTCAGAATCACGTGATAGCCAAAAGCCATCTTTCAATGTAGAACCACGGCACTCGTACTTAATGAACTGCTCACACTGCTGGGAAACGTTGATGAGACTCACCAGTTGAGATATGTTCGCTTCTTTGTAGAATATACTTCGCGAGTAGGACCCCGGGGCTTCATAACCATCCACCAAAGTCCTTTTTTCGCTGTCATGACTTATGACAGTCACACCAACTCCGTCTTTGTCAGTCATTTCACAGGTAACGAGGAAAGGCAGGAATCCTCCTTCACCATCAGGATCTATCAGACAGATTCCGCTTTTCGCTTTAGGATCGAGCCTCTTTAAGTCACTGCAAGATCTTGATAATACTGTGAAAAGAAATAAAGCCTTAGCGTGCGAAGCTGCCCAAGCCGTCTGAGGAAGGTTTTAGTTAAAAAGATCAAGAAAGATATCGACCAGCCATCTGAACTCTCACAGTTCCTCTCTACCCTTTGGAGTGTTCGTTAGTATCAGAAAACTGGGGAACATATCCCTGGGATGGGGGATTACGTATTATGAACTAGCAAGAGGGGCCATAGTGCACCCTATCTCGTAGGAACAAACTTGAGCCTGAAAAAGTTTCTCTTAAAGAGCCCATTTTATCGTTGCAAACGAATATGCTTTTTCTATGGAGGGCGAAGTGATCGATTCATTCTTTAGTGAAAGATACAACAATGGCTTTGGTATCCTGTTAAATGGTAATATAGAGTGGATGCATTCTGATCTTTACCATTATTTTGGTTCTTGCTGCAGTTTAGTTCTCTGCAACACTGACTGCAGCCATAACTTTAGTTTTCTTATCAAAGGTAACAAAGAGCATTGGCGTATTTAGGAATGCGTCAACAACAATATCTTTACTTAATGACTGCTTCGTGTCAACTTTAAACAACTGTAAGGCACTGAGCAGAGTATCATTAAAAAATGTCACAGTGATCTTAATGTCATCATGTCTCAGCAGTGCTTGCAAGTGGTACTGACTGCTGCAAGCAGACACTTTCTGCCTGAGACCATATGTTTCACTACATTCCCTGGTGTTGCTAGAAGCTTTTTGTTACATTTGCAACATTGGCGATAGCACATGAAATTTTGAACACCAAGGACTGCAGCATTTGTTGATGTTTGGGTGAAGTAGTCTGGCAAATCAACTGGTGAAGCTACTTCCTCTTGGAAGGGATCAGCTGGTGAAATGAAACAGTCATGCTTTGGTGTAGTAAGGTAAATGGAGTAGTTGTCATTATCCTTCCTTACTTTAAGGTTACAGAAGTTATATGTGTTGTCGTCTGCAACTTCTGTAATCAGGTCCTCCCACAGGGTCAGTTTGATTGATCCAGATGGATCCACGAGGCAACAATCAGCTTTCGACTTCGTGCCATCTCTTGTGATTATTTTCTTCACTCCAGATAAGTGGACCACTTTGGCTTTGCGATTAATACGTTGGTTATTGCTGACATTCGAGAGCATCGCGATGTTTAGAGTCGAGGGAATCTCTTCTCGTAGAAAAGTGACCTCCTTCAGTTCCTTTATTTGGACTCTTGCATTCATGAGAACACTGTCATTTTTAATAGTGAAGTTGCTAATCTTTACTGTTTGCAGGATGTTTCAAAGTCGAGATGCTTGCTTGAAGAGAAACAGACTCCACGTACTTTGGTCGCTTCTGTTTGAATAAGCATGTCAAAATAGCGAGTCTTGTTGGAGTGCTTAACAGGGGATACGTAATGAATGT